CGCGGCGTCGATAAACTTGTGAGATTGACGGCGCGGCGTTGGCAGGAGGCGCGCTAGCTGGGCGCGGCGCTGCAGAGCGCGCTGCTGCTGGAGCGGGCGGGGCGGGGCGCGCGGACGCCTGCAAGGTCCGGCGTAGGCAACCCGCTGCGCGCGGCCGTCGCCTCGCTGCCTACCTGTTGCCCGCACCGCTACTGCGGCCTGCCCCTCGGCCCGGTCCAGGCCCAGCAGCAGGGCCCGGGCCCGCGGCGTCACTTGCCAAAACAAAACGGCACGAGTCGAACAACTTACGAGAGACAGGGGTGGGTCAGGCCACTTGCCACTCGACTGCACTAAAATGTCAACGCCGGGTATATTTAGAGGACCGCGATGCACGGCAGAGGCGGAACGAAGAGCCGCCGCCGGCGTGGCGGGGTTTGGGCGAGGCGGGATCACACCGTGCCGCCTGATAAGGGCCCGGCAGGAAGAGGCGGTGACGGCGCGGGGGCCTCAGGGTGCGGAGGTAGGGGGAGGTGGGGGCGAGAGAGGAGCTGGCATTGCCAAGGACATGTAAACATCCATGACCTGTACAACCTGCTAGGCTGCTGCGCCCGGCCCGCGCTCCCGCTCGGCTCAGCTCGCCGCCGCACTTTCGTTTCGCACGTCCGAATGACCTTCTCTCCCGTCGCCGCCGGGCTGAGCTGCCATGAGCACGACCGCGCCCGCGAGGCTGGTAGGCTGGTGGCCGACGTGGTCGTCTCCACTCTGTCTGTCCGCGATGCAGTGCTCTACATGTTCGACCCCCCGGTGTGTGCACCGCGACACGCCGGTGGCACGCGCCGCGCGTGCGTCACGCACGGTCACGCACGTACACGCCGTACAGTTCTAAATTTAGTGGACGGCGGGCCGGGCCGGGCCATCGCGGTGCTGGCCAGACCAGCCTCGGCCGTCCTGGCCGCCGCGTCGCCACCACTTGAATCTCAGCGCCCCGCCGGCCCCATCCCGCCCCGCCAGATACGACCGCCTCCCCTCCCCTCGGCGCGCTTTACTGCCGCCAGAGCTGAGGGTCCCGAGGGTCCCTCGCGCGCACAGGGGCCGGGGGGGTCATCGCTCCAGGAGTGGCGTGGCGTGGCGGGGCGGGGGGCGTAAGTGACAACGAGACGGCGCGACCCCAGAGGCCTTCCTCTGTGCCTCGACATAATATCGGGACTCCCCCCAGCAATCACATTTCGGAACCCACCCCTTCGGAGCGCCCTCCCCTCCGAATGTCCTTCCCCCTCGGGTCGCGAAGAAGAACATTCCCGCGCGCGCCCTGCCCGGCAGCGAACGACAAGTCACCGCCCAGCGTGACGCAACCACCGGGCCAGGCATGGAAATGAACGCCACATTAAAATTCGGCGCGTTGACCCACGCCCGCCCTGGTCTCGCGGCGACAGTAGGTTGTGCTGATCCGATCGCGGAGGGTCAGGGAGATGGAGCTGTTTGTTTGTCGGCTGACAATGTCATCGCACGTTTAGAGAAGCGCCCGCGCACCAACCAGCTGTCACTTTATTAAAGCACCCGAGATAATTGAAATCGGATCGGACCTCCTAGGGGTCGAACGTGTCTGCCCCTGGCCGGCATTCTAGAGCAATCTGCCCGCCTTGATCACGCATCGCGGAAGTGATTAGCACGTCCTCACACAGTCGACCGTCGCCGTCTGAAAATCAGACCATCTCTAATCAAGTGAATAGGGAGCGCGACAGAGAGTGTGCGAGGAGAGAGAGGCATTGCGGCTTCCCTTCAAGTAATGGCAACACGCATAAACAAGACGATTTTCTTGTGACAAAAAATAACAAATGCACTGACCTGGCGTCGATAGACTGCAGAGGAAGATTTATCAACTCCTGCGTGACCGCCGTGACCCGGTCCGGTCGGTAGGCGGCAGCGCGGCGAAGCGTAGCGCGGCACTGTGTACACTGTTAGACTGGTGGACATTCCCAGAAAACGTTCTCTATTTTACACCGAGCGGCATTTCGTGCGACATTTGCCAACGTAGCGGTTCTAGGGTAATTGGACCCCGCTGAATCCAAATCCGAATGTTGTCAAGCCGAATTTTGCCTCCAAAGGCCCAAAATCCAAGATGGCGGCCAAACTAAGGGCCTAAA